AAAGGTATCCAGAACGTTTTAAATATGGGATTGTGATAACATTATTTAAGGGAGGAAAGCGAGATAGATTACTAATGGATAACTACAGAGATATAACTTTAATGTCTGTTTTACAGAAAATCCTTGAAAAGGTTATGTTCTTTACAGTGCTTAAGAAATGTCATGAAATCAACTTTCCTCACAAATTACAGCAGGGTTTTAGAGAACAATGCGGTAGCATTACAGCTGCCTTCATTGTGAAAGAGTCAATTTCTTACTATATTGAAAAGAAATCAAAAGTATAGGCAGCTTTTCTTGATAACCAGAAAGCGTTCAATTCTGTATGGATAAAAGGATTAACGTATAAAATATATAAACTAGGGTTCAATGGCAAGTTCTGGCGACTTTTATCTGATTCGTTTATTAATGTTAAAGCATCAGTGTTTTTTGAAGTTAAGCGTAGTCCAACGTACACCATTGGACAAGGTGTCGGTCAAGGTCGAGACCTCTCTGCTTGGTGCTTTCTTGTAATGATTGATGACCTTGTAAGTGAGTTAGAGAGTCGAGGTCTTGGGCTTAGGATAAAAGACATACATGTGCCTTGTGTTTTACTAGCTAACGATACATTAGTATTGTCAACCTCTATAGGTTTACTCCAAAAAGAATTAGATGTAGTTTATTCATACACTACTCGATGGCGTCTTAACTACAATTCTACAAAGAGCTCTCTGGTAGTATTTCAATCCCAACGTCGACGAGTACTTTTAGATGATTTTAGACATATACGATGTAAAATTGGTTCCCAATCCCAATTACATCATAGAAAACTTACGCTGGGATAACGTTTACTAGTAACTTGCACTCAGGACGTAGTATAATGGACGCCTGTGTAAAAGGAAGAACTAACTTAAATTCACTTCTAAATATCGGTATTCACCCCAACGGACTTAATCCCGTAGCAAGTTTTAATATTATCAAAAGTATTGTATACTCAGGTATGTTGTATGGATGTGAGCTTTGGAATTCATATACTAAACGAGCTGTGGAAGAGCTGGAACGCACACAGAGATATGCATGTAGACCTCCTCCTCGGCAGTGACTGTTCAATGTCTAGGATCATTTGATATATGGAGCGAGGTGGAGAGACGAAAACTATTGTTTTGGAACAAATTGTGTTTAGGAAGTGCTAAGTTTTTGTGGAAAACGCTTTTTGTAATTAGATTGTGCCAATTTATGTATAGTGGTTCATCATCCGCTCAAGCAGGATTTCTGCCTGATATATAGAACATAATGGTTAAATTTCGTATAGAGTCTTTCATTAATGATTATATCTTTTAATACATTCGTACCACCGACAATGTGTTGGAAACGTTTATTCTTGAATGTCCTGGTTTATACCTAAGTCGGGATAAAATGATGGATGGTGTTGTAAATGCGATTGAGGTTTTGTCCTATATAAAATTTTCAGAACTAAGCATTGAATGTAATTTTTTGTTTGGTGATCGCTCACAAGTATGTTTGACTGATATAGAATGGGAAACTCTGAAGATAAACATGGCTAAAAATATCAAAGGTATGGTCCGTGAAATGGAAAGCCTAATATTATAGTCGTTAACATATAATGTATATCTAAGTGTGCATTAGTATTTAAATCGATAATGTAAATATTATGTTGTAAGTAGTATAAAATTATGAATTGTACATGTAAAAAGTAATCTTAAGAATATCAAAAACATTGTATATATACTTTCCACTGTATATACATACAAAATACGACTTATTTTGTAAAATGTTTTGACAAGATATGAAATCTCTGCAAGGAGGAAATAAAGAATGTCTAATTTAATGGTGACAAACACACCACAAACCAGTCAATTCTAATTCTCGGGTATTTGAAATACATTCGCTACATCTGTTCGATATTGGAAATATCCGTATAGTGTGGTGATATTACCCGCTTATTGATATGTATAGATTTACAGAAATGTTTGTTAAGGACTTAACAGCTTAATATAAACTTGTATATATATAAACTTTATATATTTAAAAAAAAGTGACATATATATCAACATAAAGAAATAAAATGCAATGTTTTTTTTATTTTATATATGTTTAAAAAAAAGTCAATCAGATAGCTATCATTTAATAGGCTAGTTGGCACAGGTGACCACAGGTAAAATACAGGTAAATTAATATGAAATAGACTATAATCCTTATCACAACATTCTTTTGCCCATGTTATTTTAAATAGGGGGCAAATCGGGATACAGCCAAATCGAGAACCCACCGTTTTTGTAAATCTTCGACAGTGTCTGCTAATAAAACAGTGTCATCAGCGTATAATTATGCGTTCTTAAGTCTTCTACGTTATTTAGAAAGATAGAAAATAAAGTTTCCCGTTGTCTTACTCCAGAATTACAATTAAAAATATTAGACACAGAATTGCCTTTAATTACTTTAGTTTTAATACCATTATACATACTAGTTATTACGTTAAAACATTTTCCAACCATATCACTAGTAATTAATTTGATCCATAGACCTATTCTACAGATACACTGTCGAACGCCTTTTCGAAGTCTACAAAAGCTCAGTACATGCAATTTTTGATTTCAATTAGAGTTCAATTGAAAGCATATAGTGAAATATATGATCAATGGTAGAATGTTGTCCTCGAAATCCAGCTTGATTTTCAAGAATAAGTTGGATACCGTCAGCATATTTATTAAGACGTTCATTAATTATAGCAGTGAATACTTTACATAAACAACTACTAGGTGTGATTGGCCTATATATGTTGAGTTCCTTTACGGGATGACTTTGGATTGTACCACGAATTGAATCAAGACGCATTCAAGCTCAGTACCATGCTATTTTAATCCCCGACCTTCTGCGCATGCTCAGGGAGCACATATTATACAAAGTATAAGGAGGGAGCTGTTATGAATTACAATTAATGTATTGTAACGACACTACAATATAGACTCGAACTTATCAGCCTTTATACACAGGTATGATGTTAACCGCCGTATCTTCGATTTCCAACTCTGTAAGATTAACGTAGTCGACAAATCTCTTGTTATCTAAAGACGTAATCAACACACCTGAAGGTGAAGTACAACGATTTTACAAAGTCTTTGTGACCTGTTTTGATAAGTTCTTCAATAAATTCAGCCTCGTATGAATAAGATTTAGATTTATGACTTAGATCGTTGTTAACTGCACAAAATATAGTTAATTAAATCACCAACTGATGACTTGTCAATTCACCGCCCACTTTGGTAAATGTATTACCACTGAATATATGTATCCCTTCATCTTATCTATGTACATTTAATATAAAAAAATGTGATATTTATTTACGACATATTGGAGGTTTCGACCTTGCTTGATGGATCTATTTTATTCGTATATATAACGAACATGTATATTGTGATGAAGTGAAATTTTTAAGGTAATTTTAGTTGTTAATTTTATGGGTAAGTTTTACTTACAATTCACTATTAACCTCGTCTCATTGGATACCGGCCCATTATTTGTATGACAATATTGTGATAAAAGTATCATGGTATTGTAGTGTTTATAAGCAAAACAGATACAAAATCAGAAGTATGACCATAACTACAGAGTCTATAGATCTTTTAAACAGGGAAGTATTACCCGATGGTATTATATAGTCGATATGAATACAGACGAATAGAATGACGACTTGCTTATATTAATATTCATATATAATTTTCGTCATCTGAAGAAAAAAAAATTGACCGAATACTGAGGTCTGGAAATTCATAACAGAGAACAACCTGAATACTAATTTTCTCCTGTCATCTTAAGTATCAATGGCATGAAATAATATTGTCACAAATTGAACTCGATAACCAATATGAAAGTGTAAACTATGTTTTTATTTATAATTACATTATTTTTCAGTTCGTTTGAAACAAAAACATTTTATTCAGTAACTAGTATACGATGAATTGAAGTGCGTATATAAATAAAAAATGGCTCGCTAAGAGCTGCTTCAAATAATAATAACCCTACTCACACAGATCCTGATTATTACACTAGCTGTCTCACTCAGAGCTTAAACGCTTCACAACTCGATAAAAACTGAGTTCTAACGCCAGGTAACTCACTCAGAGCTTAAACGCTTTACAACTCGATAAAAGCTGAGTTCTAACGCCAGGTAACTCACTCAGAGCTTCAACGCTTTACAACTCGATAAAAGCTGAGTTCTAACGCCAGGTAACTCACTCAGAGCCTAAACGCTTTACAACTCGATAAAAGCTGAGTTCTAACGCCAGGTAACTCACTCAGAGCTTCAACGCTTTACAACTCACTAACTTCTGAGTTCTTACGCCATTTAACTCACATAGTGCTTAAACACTTGATAGCTCGCTAAACAGCTGTAATCTGAAGTTAATAGACTCACTCAGAGCTTAAACGCTATAGCACACTAAATAACTGCGTTCTGACGCCAGTTGACTCACTCAGATTTAATTATTTTAATGATTTTTATTTCCTAAAGAACTAGAACCTCGATTATCACGTTAACAAATTCCCGCCAAAAATCGCACTAAGTGATTCATTGGCATCTTCATCATTACGCATACAGACACAAGATTTTCATTCTCACTGATTTGGCTCACGCTTACTCTGATGAGAACTTCATCAACACATCACATCTCGCTCATTGATTGTCTCATATATATATATCTTTTTGAAAACAGACGATTACACGACACTTGTTGTGAATTGCGAAGTTTATCATCAAGTCTGATGCTTTGTTATTTACACACTAGATGACAGTTATTCTGACATACAATGTGATCTAAACGTAATCCAATAAACGTTCCTCCTTAATTCCACGGACAATTGTGACGTCACGAACACTTGACATCAGAGTCTGTCCCCTTCATCCGGGTCTCTTATTATCTTACCCACTGCTTATTTGTATTCTGTCACCTTAACTGATGAAGTCATCTCATTCTTATAGAATTATACCGGACTTCCGAGTCTCGCTAAAGATTTGGGGCCATGTGTTTTGTGAATTCTGAAATTAAAATCCGGAAAAATAAGTCAAAAATTTAAAACAGTTCCTGCTTTTCAAAAAGCAAATTTGTCTTGTGGTGCTTGAAATGTTATGAAAATTGTCATTTAAGTCATGACTGAATGCTTCCTAGTCCTAGAGATAAGTAAATTCATATATAAATATCAGCAGTGATATTTGTTAACACACAATGGCTTTCGCATGCTATCGATCTGTAACTTCAGAGGGCAGACTTAACGTCATGCAATCATACGACAATCCTTAATCAACGCTTTGTCACAATTACAGACATTACGATATCACCTAAGGTTTGGCAACAAATATTCAAAGTCATGATTTGTAACCGGTCACGGTGATGTAATGCACCATTGTAATGACGTAAATGGTGACGTCATCCCTAGAACGTTACGGTATTGTGAGTTTGCCTATGTATCTTATGTGTACTCTACCTGAATAGCTGATGCGGCCATCTTTATTCACATCCGCTTCCTTAATAATGGCCTGTATTTCAGCCTCTGTCTTTTTTTCATCTATAAATAAATCATATCTATCTTAAGACAGAGTATGTATCTAATAATACTGATGACGTCATACTGACAGCTGTGAATTTTGAAGTAGTTATACTATTCGATGAATTAACACACAACTCATGCCAAGTAATGAAATATATGTATTATATCTTACTGCGTCGGTATCATTATAGTATGAATGTTTTTCTCAAATATTGAGCAAAGGTGAAAACCTCGAAAAACAAAATGTTTAAACGTGTGACAGGATGTTCTTAGAATTTTGATGAAAGCATTCATAAATTATTGTTGGAACACGGATGTTCTTCACCGTAAGACACAAAAAATATGTGAAAATGTCAACACTTCCCGTTTTTACTTTGTGAATATAACTGGAATCGATAGATTATCGAATTTGAATTGAGAAATGGCGTTCTCTGAAATCTTGATCACTCACCGAAACGTGACATAAAGTCGGTGAGTTCATCTTCGGTGATGTAGCCATCGCCATCAGCGTCCAGAACTTGGAAGGCTGCCAACATGTCCTGATCTGTCTCATCAGGAAGGGACTTTAGGAAGCCACTGTTGGTAATGAAGTTCTCGAATTCCTCATATTCTACCGTACCGTTTTCTATAATGATAAATTCGCCATTTTATTTTGGTTATGGTACACCATCATCAATCAGTACTTTTGTTAGGTTAGGGCTTAATGTTTCAAACTTGTCTGAGATACTGGGACTTAGGAACTCACTATCATCACAAATCCTTCATCTGACATTTAAAATTGTCAACAATCTAAAATTGAACCTCGCGCATGCGTCAAATGACATCCTCACAAGGTATCTAAATATTCTTTTTTACTTGATACCTTAATGTGCATGGAAATGACGCCAGATAACCGATACAATTATTGGTCATATGTTGTGATGAACAAAATTCAGTGGTTGTGTTATATAGACATACAGCTGATTCGTCCTTCTACGACTCCTTCGTGGTGGTGTTATGTTTAGGTATTGGATTACATGCTGTATAGAGATTATTTAGTTTTCTGGTTAGTTAATTTTCGACGTTCAAAAGATACTGTTTCGTAATGAATGTTTATTTACCATCCGCGTCAAGCTTCTTGATGACGTCGTCAATGTTTTCTGGTTAGTTAATTTTCGACGTTCAAAAGATACTGTTTCGTAATGAATGTTTATTTACCATCCGCGTCAAGCTTCTTGATGACGTTGTCAATGTTTTCTGGTTAGTGAATTTTCGACGTTAAAAGATACTGTTTCGAAATGAAAGTTTATTTACCATCCGCGTCAAGCTTCTTGATGACTTCGTCAATGACACTCTTGCTAGGTAAGATTCCCAGATTATCGAGTACGTTCTGTATTTCGCTTGTAGAAAGTTTTCCATCATGGTCAACATCAAACAGCTGGAATGTTTCTCTAATCTCTGAAATAATAATACACAGATACATAGGTTTACTTACATCCGGTATCATGCTCTAGCATAATGGCCATATTACTGTGGAATTTGGATAACCTCGGGTGCTTCCGGAAACTTGATGTAGTTACGGAACCAACCAAGAAATGTTTCAAACATATCACGCGATCGTGTGGTTGAGTTATTTATTACAAAATTCAGGTATATCAATAGACTTGTGAAAACCATTTTCCGTGTATATATGTATGTTTTTTTCTATATAAAATACATTTCTACGACTTTTATATTTCAGAATACTTTATTTCAAGAGGACGATAATAACACCTATATTTGTACACTTACCATTTCTTATTTCATCCGTTATGTTTCCAGACTGAAACGTGGAGAAGAAAATTAAATATACATATTAAGTATAGAACAAATACTCTATATTGTACTCTTGATTTGAAAGAGCTATCTTCCTTGAACCAAGGACCTAGGATGTGAGATTATGCCACTATTACCAATAACTTTCAAGAAAAAATCGACGCATGCACACGTACGCACGCACAAATAATAATAATAAAACATAGAAAGACACCGATAAAACGTCGTTGCTCCTGACCAAAGTTTATTGATGACTTGTAAGTGTATACGATCGGAACACATCTTATGAAAAGTAAATTATACAGATCATATTTACATTTGGCAATATTAACTGAACATGTTTTCCGTACTGCATTAGCACAAACGCTTTTTTTCTGATGCTGTTCAATAACACACAGAAACAGTATCAGAAATAACAAGAACATGTAAATATACAATGATCAAACAAATTCGTAATGAACAATTCAGATACGTAAACAAAGATTTACTGGATAATGAACAAAGAGAATAAGACCAGAAATTCGGGGAGGGATTGTTATCCAATTCATGTAAAAGTTGTCTCGTTCATTTAAACAATATCTAAAAACTTTTTTCAACAATATGACACATGGAAAAAAACAAGCATACATCCTAAATCAACATAGCCTAAACCACCAGGTACATTATAGAGGAGCACTGGAAGTATCTAACTTGATATTACAGCGATCCCTCCAAGTACAATACACAGCACTGGAAGTATCTAACTTGATTTAACAGCGATCCCTCCAAGTACAATACACAGCACCGGAAGTGTCTAACTTGATATCACAGCAATCCTTCCAAGTACAATACACAGCACCGGAAGTGTCTAACTTGATATCACAGCAATCCTTCTAAGTACAATACAGAGCACCGGAAGTGTCTAACTTGATATCACAGCAATCCTTCCAAGTCACTTCACAAGTGTCTACATATACAGCAATCCTTCCAAGTAGCACAGCACCGGAAGTGTCTAACTTGATATCACAGCAATCCTTCTAAGTACAATACAGAGCACCGGAAGTGTCTAACTTGATATCACAGCGATACCCCCCAAGTACAATACAGAGCACTGGAAGTATCTAACTTGCACCGGAAGTATCTAACTTAATATCACAGCAATCTCTCCAAGTACAATACAGGGCACCGGAAGTATCTAACTTGATTTAACAGCGATCCCTCCAAGTACAATACACAGCACCGGAAGTGTCTAACTTGATATCACAGCAATCCTTCCAAGTACAATACAGAGCACCGGAAGTGTCTAACTTGATATCACAGCGATCCCCCCAAGTACAATACAGAGCACCGGAAGTATCTAACTTAATATCACAGCAATCTCTCCAAGTACAATACAGGGCACCGGAAGTATCTAACTTGATACCACAGCGGTCCTTCCAAGTACAATACAGAGCACCGGAAGTGTCTAACTTGATATCACAGCAATCCTTCCAAGTACAATACAAAACACCGGAAGTATCTAACTTGATATTACAGCAATCCCTCCAAGCACAATACAAAACACCGGAAGTATCTAACTTGATATTACAGCAATCCCTCCAAGCACAATACAGAGCATCTGAAGTGTCTAACTTGATATCACAGCTATCCTTCCAAGTACAATACAAAACACCGGAAGTATCTAACTTGATATCACAGCAATCCTTCCAAGCACAATACAGAGCACCGGAAGTATCTAACTTGATATCACAACGAAATATCCAGATACATCACAGAACACCGGAAGTGTCTAACTTGATATCACACAAAGAGATGGAACATAATGAGATCGAGGCATCATGTTCTAATTTATGAAACAAAGAAAAAGTAAAAAGAAATCGGGCGTTAATGAACCTTAACAATAAAATGAAAATAAACAAATCCCTAAAGGTTCAAAGATTGTACAAACCTACAAGTCAAAGCACCTTTTGATACAAATTGAGATAAGATACAGAATAGTCAGGCAATGAATTAAACTGCATCACACAACTGTTTCGTCCTTCCAGGACTCGTCAGTGATGCTACATCATACAGCTGTTTCGTCCTTCTAGAACTCGTCATTGATGCTACATCATACAGCTGTTTCGTACTTCTAGGACACGTCAGTGATGCTATATCATACATATGTTTCGTCCTTCTAGGACTTGTTAGTGATGCTACATCATACAGCTGTTTTGTCCTTCTAGGACACGTCAGTGATGCTACATCATACAGCTGTTTTGTCCTTCTAGGACTCGACAGTGATGCTACATCATACAGCTGTTTTGTCCTTCTAGGACTCAACAGTGATGCTACATCATACAGCTGTTTCGTCCTTCCAGGACTCGACAGTGATGCTACATCATACAGCTGTTTTGTCCTTCTAGGACTCGTCAGTGATGCTACATCATACAGCTGTTTCGTCCTTCTAGGACTCGTCAGTGATGCTACATCATACAGCTGTTTCGCCCATTGTAGGACTCGACAGTGATGCTACATCATACGGCTGTTTCGTCCTTCTAGGACTCGACAGTGAAACTTGAAGCATAGGAGATGTACTAACATCGTAATTCAGTAAATTTCTGATGATTATCGAAGAAATTAAATGTGAAAGCAAAAGTTAAATAAGAATTAATGGCGTCATGAAAGAGATATATCAAAATAACTTAAATATGTAATTACTGTAAAAAAAAATTAGTTTTACAAACTCCGCTGAACAAATTAATAAAAATGTTTTAGTAGACACAAACCAATAGTCTATGTTATAATTCATTAAACATCAGTAAGATTGTATCATTGATATAATTGTTTAAATAATTATCTCTTCAGTTATCGGAATATTTTCAGTTTAACCAAATATTTCCTCATTGTACAGAAAACTGGATTTATTTTCTTACAATCTACAAAACAAACACACTGTGTGAGATGAATACCAAAAAAATATTTATATAATTAGGAACAGTCGGTATTTTGCCAAAAAAATTTAACAACCTTATTATAAAAATTCATATGCATACCTCGTCGAAACAGTTGTAGTCAACCATAAAGATGACAGAAGTCATTGTCCGTGTGAGGTAGTATCCTTAATATCGGTGCGGGCCTTCTGATTGATTTTGTTGGCTGAGACACCTTTTTTCGGTGTATATATATATTCGCCCTCAAACTAACCTCGTAAACAGTCACTGATCTTCTTAACCCTGTGACGTCACAACCGTTAATCCTTTATTTCCATTACCAAATATGTAAATATTCGATTGACCATCTGGTGACTGGCCGAGATAAAAGTGTGACCATTGTGGGTAGTTTAGCCTTAATGATATAACTGGACGTTTTTTTTACATTCTTATAATCATAATCATTGGAGTAAGTTACTGGCCTGGCTAGTACCTACATATAAGAACCAGTATTTCTTAATTGACGTCACTAAAAAACCGTTATATATTCAATACATTAACATATTACAATTAATATCTGAAAATTATTTTTTGCTACTTTTCAATATAATTATGTGTTTGATAGAAAAAATTAATGCAAAATTTCTATAATTTATAACATAAATACTTAAAACTACTTATCTTTTGTTCTTAACTAATGTGGACGAGGTTCAACAATTCGATCACCCGAAAGCGTATTTAAAAAGAAAACTTTTAATTTTGTTTCATGGGACTAATTATCTATATCAGTTTATTTACGCCAACAGCAATGATTTATTTTCTAATCATAATCATTGCTTTTTCAGGATTGATTCTTTCGTCATGTAATTTTGCCTTGTGTAACACTAACAGGTCTTTTATGGCTTCCATGATTAACATGACTTGTTTATATACCGAGAGATGAGGCAGCTTGATGTCTACTGTAAGTAGATGTTTGTTAGAACTGGGATAATGTTCTAGACAAGATAGATAAATAAACAATTATTAGATGGTGTTATTTACAAGTAAATCTACGTGACGGGATATTAAGAAATTGATCATTATATTGTAAACATATAAATATATTAGTGGTTATCCTATTTCAAATATACATGATGGGATATTTAGATATCATAAGACCATTGAAATATTCTAAACACACACACACACACACACACACACACTCACACACACATATACACACACACACACACACACACACACACACACACACACATACACACATATATATATATATATATATATATGTTTGTGGTTATCCTAATTTTAAATCAACATTGTAATATTGTAAACATATATATATTCGTGGTTACCTTATTTTAACTTATTTTTTGCTGTGAAAATTACATTTTCTGGATGTTATTCTTAAAGCAATTATTCCAAATGCACAAATTGTCATTCTGTTAATTTGTTAAATATTGATAATATACTTAAAGGACAGTTACAATATCTATACAGACCTATTTATATCTCTAAGACTGCCTTTTATAGTACTCCAAACGATGTTTAATGAATTAATAATTGTGACGTATAAACATTTTAATCCATGAACACCATTTTGTGTTTTGATTGTTTTCTAATATCCTGGTCGTTTAAATCATTGTCATCTTAGACCCATATTTGAAAAAAAACTCACAAACAATTTTCAATATAAAAGAACAAATACGAAACACATGAAATTTATAACTTTAAAATTAAGATTTAACTTTTAAAATTAAGATTTAACTTTTAACTTCTAAAGATGTTTGAAACAACATTGTCCGCAATCTGTATCTACTTTTTGGAGTAAACACTATTAGAACCTTGTCAAGGTTTTGGATTTCAACATGTAAACACAGTCATTAGACAGAGTTAAAACCTACAATGTAAGTAAGCCAGATCATATCAACCTCGCCAGGTCAATAACATTAATAGGGAGATCAACACCTAAGTATTGGCTATGATATCCGAGGTACTAGGCGCCTTTCTCGTTCTGGCGTCGGTCAAAATTACAAGTCACAGACCCTAGGGATCATAACGTTCTACTTTGTTTCGCTCCGTATTTCTTCATCAGCACTTTACTTCATGTTCCATGATAAGATTTGCCTTTATTCGCTGTGTTGTCCTAGTCTTACTTAGACTTAAATTGTGTCATATTTAGATTGTTTAATGCGCCATTTAAAGTATCTACAAAAGACACACGATAGAATGTCATGATTCTATATAAATGGAGAGTTATGTACAGTAGAGGCAAATACTATGAATTAAAAAACATGATACACTTGTTAAGTTTTTAAGGGCTCGTCAGTGACATTAGAGACAAATGACGTAGTAAGATAGCATCATCCATCCGTCTAGTCTTTTCAGGACTCGTCAGTGACAGCATAGACAAATGATATGAATTTAACTGCATATTCAGCAGTTCCGTCCTTCCAGAACTCGTCAGTGACACTAGGGGCAAATAATATGAATTACACTGCATCTTCAGCAGTTCCGTCCTTCCAGGACTCGTCAGTGACAGTATAGACAAATGATATGAATTAAACTTCATTTTCAGTAGTTCCGTCCTTCCACGACTCGTCGGTGACAGTATAGACAAATAATATGAATTGTACTGCATCTTCAGCAGTTCCGTCCTTCCAGGGCTCGTCAGTGACAGTATAGACAAACAATATGAATTAAACTTCATATTCAGCAGTTCCGTCCTTCCAGGGCTCGTCAGTGACAGTAGGGGCAAATAATATTAATTAAACTGCATCTTCAGCTGTTCCGTCCTTCCAGGGCTCGTCAGTGACAGTATAGACATATGATATGAATTTAACTTCATCTTTAGCAATGCTGTGTTTCCAGGGCTCGTCAGTGATAGTATAGACATATGATATGAATTTAACTTCATCTTTAGCAATGCTGTGTTTCCAGGGCTCGTCAGTGATAGTATAGACAAATGATATGAATTAAACTGCATCTTCAGCAGTTCCGTCCTTCCAGGACTCGTCAGTGACAGTAGGGGCATTTGATATGAATTAAACTGCATCTTCAGCAGTTTCGTCTTTCCAGGACTCGTCAGTGACAGTATAGACAAATAATATGAATTAAAAATAACATTATACAGCTGTATAGTCCTGGCCTGAATTGGTATATCTAGGAGGGGACAGAGGAAATTCTAAAATGGTCGAAGAAAATGTCAGAACCGAGATGAAATAAATAAATCTTTAATTCAATGAAGTTCATCAATTTCAAAAATCGGATCGTAATACCCATCAAACACAGGTGTAAAACAATGAACAGACCTCAAAGTTGTCAAGCTTCCGAGAGATCGTGCCTAATATATGATTCAAACCAGAATACAGCAAATGTCATTAACAGTACTGAAAATACACATGAAAGCAAATATAAACGAAGTATTTACACTGAAAATACAATGACAAATAAATAAACGAAATATAGACACCTATCTAAGGTTGTTAGAGAAACACATTCGTAAGATATAAAATCGGTGTGTCATTAAAAACACACTATAGAAAGGTACATTTACATGGAAATCCAATATGAAAAATAAACAGAATAATATTATATATAATACATTGACTAACTGATAGCATAATTGTTTCGTCTAGAAATCGAGGAAGCGTATCCGTAACTTAGTATATATAGCCCTTACGTCATGGTAAAGTTAATCAGCAAAGTGATTCTTTAAAATTAGTATCTGTGACCTGAGTCGTATTCTGAGTTGTGACATCCACTCGTGTTTCTTACATCACAGGCAAAAAACTACCTGTATATCACATAATTAAGATTGAAAAACAAAGTAATTTATACAAGGGATATATCTAAACAATGTATTCTTACAAATGACAATGCTAAATATTTAAATTTTAATTATGTAAATTAATGGAACCTAAACGGTTTTACTTACATAAACAAAGTAATTTATATATATCTAAACACTGTATTCTTACAAATGACAATGCTAAATATTTAAATTTTAATTATGTAAATTAATGGAACCTAAACGGTTTTACTTACATAAACATAGTAATTTATATATATCTAAACAATGTATTCTTACAAATGACAATGCTAAATATTTAAATTTTATATTATGTAAATTAATGGAACCTAAACGGTTTTACTTACATAAACAAAGTAATTTATATATATCTAAACAATGTATTCTTACAAATGACAATGCTAAATATTTAAATTTTAATTATGTAAATTAATGGAACCTAAACGGTTTTACTTACATAAACAAAGTAATTAATTCTTTTCAGAAATTCCTGTTCATTCCAACAAATGAGAATACTTTCAACCTAGTTTTGTTTCCGTTAAGACATTGCACTTGATGTTCTTTTGAAAGCATGCGATATTGACAATAGTGAAATTTATTGACTTTGTGTAGCTAGTACATCTGCACGTCTTGTTTAAAACTTAAACCTGTTTTGTAGGATCTCCGTTTTCTCCTAATTTTCAATAGTTTAGACCCTGAACATGACTGACGTATCCTAGAATTACAGAGCATTTAGGTTATATTGTATCTTGAAACTTGATTTCTGTATTGAAAGGTGCTGATTGTTGTTACCTACTGTATGTTATAGATTGGTTTGTGTTAATTGTTCTAAATCAGGCCAGTCCTTATCTACTGGGTAGTGTTTATGAGTTAGGATATATACAGCTAAATAGCTATTAGTTCAGACGCACTAAGCCAACTTTCAGTTTAATCTTCACAAACTTTATACACTGTGCTTCTTATACATTTTGATCTCATTCTAATCTGATAATCCGGATCACGGCATTTTTACAAGAGATAATCGACATCAATGTAGTACTTTTAACTTATAGGCCCGACAGCTTTCCCAAGGATTAATCATTTGACTGATCTGAACTGAAGAGTAACACGTGACTAGAATACCGATCTGAATTGAAAGTAACACGTGACTAGAACAGGTCTAATTGAAACAGTGAAATGTTGTATAAAAAACTAACTTTAAAATAATGATTGTAAACATTGTTTTTCATATATACAGGTCATATACTTAGTACACGATTATCTCCCGCTTAGCTTCGAACTGGATATCAACCTTCTTTGAGTTGTCCCAGAGTGTGTGGTGACCCTTATATTCAAAATAAAACGACGTTAAACCGGAACA